ACCGCTCCTGCTGTTTTGGGGGGACGGTGTGGATTTTTTTTGCGTGTATTTTTTTTAATGAGCTGGTGAAGTGGCTCACTCTGGGGCTGCAGACGAATCCAGCCAGCTCAGGGCTCTGCAAACCATCCCTCTCCAGAGCCTTGGCCCAGCGTCTTGCAGGTCGGTGGCACCATGGAGTGGCTTACGGGGACACAAGCAGGAAACTTTCCTGCACACACACCCCCCACCTCCGATTTTTTTTGCGTGTATTTTTTTTAATGAGCTGGTGAAGTGGCTCACTCTGGGGCTGCAGACGAATCCAGCCAGCTCAGGGCTCTGCAAACCATCCCTCTCCAGAGCCTTGGCCCAGCGTCTTGCAGGTCGGTGGCACCATGGAGTGGCTTACGGGGACACAAGCAGGAAACTTTCCTGCACACACACCCCCCACCTCCTCCCGAGCCACCTCCAGAAGGCAGAGGGTGCACGGAGCAGCGACCACAGAACAGCCTCTCCTCCAGCCCACGGGGAAGGGTCTACTCACGTTTTATCGGGGCCTCAAATGATTTGGCAACTGTCACCATCACATTGGTGCCAAAGACCTAGGGGCAAGCAGAGAAGTCTGGGTGACCACAGCTGCTCAGAGACACACACACACACTCAGCTACAGCTTCACCTCGGGGCCCTGATCATCCTCAGTGGCAGAAAACAGCCACAGAGCTGCTGAACTGTGGGCAAAGGAGTCCTGCAAGTGCCCAGCACCTGCCCCTGCGGGCCAGCTCAGCTCTTAGCCAACTTGGTGGAAAGCCCAAACACAGGTGTGATGCAAGCCCTGGCCAGCGCCAGCCCCTGAGCTTCCAGCAGGGACCAGAGGCCACGTTTTGCTCTGAGGTCATTTATTTGCGCTGCACATCCGGCTTTAAACACTGGCACTGTTTGGGGGATGGACTGTAAACACACAGGTCAACCACCCTGATCTCTGTTCATCTCCAAGTCCCTCCAGTGCCAGGCAGGTAAACCAGGTGCTGGCTAGCACCAGGTGAGCGAGTTCTTAGAGCTAGGGATTAAAGAGAAACCTTAAAGCAAGCACTGGGCATCAAATTAACTCCCAGAAGGTGCAGCAAGATCTGGGTATCACCATGGAGTGAGAGGACTCCACACTGGGACCGGGGAGAAGTGTCACGTGCAAATTCACCCCAGGACTACGCAGCAGCATCGATCCACGGAGCAGTCCTCCTTCCTCCCTGAAACTCTCCTTGGATCTCACTGTGATTAAATCCACACCAAGATCCAAGCCCCCTGCAAAGGGGCACAGTAAGAACATCTCTACTTGAAGATGACCCTTCCATGAGTCTCTAGGGGAGCTGCCGGGGAAGCTGAGGCAGGAGAGAGTCGGCAAGAGGAGAGCAGCGAGCGAAGACACTCACACCCCGAGCAGGGCAGGAGGCACTGGATGTGCTAAGCCAGAAGGCTGAATCCTCTCTCCATCCGAGAGCAGCACAGAAGTAGCACACAGGGACTAACAAACCACAGAGCTGAGGCTGTTAATGAGCCCGTGAAACAGGGGCATCACGAGCCAAGTACAAAATAACCCACAGTAGCCAGGCTTAAAAAGGGAAGGATTACTCAGGCAGCTGCGTAGGTGCTGGACAGACCTCAAGGTACACAAGGCTCTCAGACATTTGGAAATGCAGTAATTCAGAAGGTGGAGGCAGCAGGAGGGACTGAGGAATACAGATGTTATGAGGAGAAATGTGCACCCAGGCCCACTGCAGAGAGGTAAGGAAAACCTCAAAACAAAGATATCGAGGCGCAGCGCTGACCGAGGGAGACGGGAGGCGTTCCAGTGTCTTTTCCTCGATGCCAGGAACAGAAGGACGCTAACAAGGCTGACAGATGACAGACCTGAGGCTCAGCTCACCCAAGCAGCTCACCCCAGAGCAGCCTCATCCTCCCGCCCGCCCAGCATCTCTGTCAGACACTGGGAAGACCTTGGTGGACAATACCAGTCACCAGAACTGGATATGCCACACAGTGGGTACCCCACAACAGCCCTGATGACATCCTTGCCAGCCCCAAGGCCAAGACAGAGATTCAGACAAAATGCTGAGCCACGTTTTGCCACTGTCTGATTCTGCCATCATCCCCACCACACCCCTTCGGGCTGAGAAAGTGGAAATTCTGACTGCAAACACGTGTCCAGCTGGTATGCTGCTTCCGATGGGGTGTCACGCCACACACACGCCTCCTGCCAACGGTCGCAGCCCGCATCCGCCCCAGGCAACGCCCCCCTTTACCCAGAAAACGTCGTAGATGAAGAGGCCCCCGAGTAAGATGCAGCCAGTGCTGACATTGTTCAAGTGCAGCAGCTCCACACCGTTGAGGGAGAAAGCCAGGCCAAAGAGATTGTTGGCAATCCAGTGCTGGGAACGAGAGCAAAAGGAGAGATAAGTCTCACCTGTGGCTCAGGTCTGACCCAGCCTGGTCCCGGACTGCCTCTCGGCGGGACTCCCTTACCTTTCTCAGCAGGTACCAGACCCCCACGACACTGCTCAGGGCCAGGCACACAAGATCCTTGGTGTCGAACTCGTAATTCACTATTTCTGCAATAAAATGGAGAAGTTCAGATTTTGGGTGGCCGGGGCAGCTCCCCATCCCGCACAGCGGAGATGTGACTTGACAGCTGGGGAGAGGCACAGAGCACGGTACTCGCCAGCGAGCAGCTGGCCCTGGCAAGCCCAGGCCTTCCCCTTCAGCCAGGCTCTGCCACATGGACAGCATCTGCTGCCCTTCTGTCAACAAGGAAATTGGATTCAGGCACTGCCTAAGTCAGGTAAAGGCAAATCTCCCTCTTCCTCCACCAGTTAACTCTTGATGGTACCACCAGAAGAAGTATTCCCTTACCAGTAAAGCTACCAGGCAGGATACTTATCAAAGCAGCTTCTACCAGTGCAAAGATTTGATTCAGATCTGCTAAGGCAGAACAAAAGTCAGTATTACACTACCCAAGGAGCTTAAATAAAGGCAGTGCACCAAACAGCAGCCACAGCTCCAGCCCTGTGACACTCTGGGATCTGTTTCAGGGGTTTTGCCGCCAGACAGGGGCAGCACAGAAGGAGAGAGGCAGCCAAAAGAAGGACAGGGCAGCCCCAGCTCTGCAGGGACACCCGGGGCTTGCACTGGCTACAGAAGGGCAGCAGGGAGTCTTTGCGGAGGTTGTTTCAACGGGCTGGAAATCAGAACACCAAGGGAACAAAAACCAGAACAGCAAAGGCAGAAAACATTCAGCCCCCCAGAGAGACTGGCGAGCCGACATACCCTCCTTGCTCTCCCCAGAGCCCTGGGTGAAGAGGAGCTGGTACTGTTTGTTGGGGAAATTTGCAGGGAAGAATCTGTTCATCATGGGGCTGAAACGAGAGGCAAAGAGAAGGGTGGTTTGACAGAAGCCCCACAGGACGCGCTGCCCAGCACCTCCACGGACATCGGCCCATGCTCCCCCCTCCAGATTTCACCACGCTGGGGACTGGCAGAAACCCCAATTTCCGTCACCAGACACAGGACCTTGTCCTGAGGTCCAGTCTGCCTGCATCTGACAGCACCTCAAAACATTTTAGGGCCACACAGCACTGCCCACGAGAAATGAGGACGTACCCCAGGCTCCAGCATGTGTCCTGTGCCCCCCAGCAGCCCCCTGGGCCCCCAGAACTGGCTGGGCCCTCACCAAAAGGCTCTGCTGCAGAGCCAGGAGTGGAGACAAAGCTCTTGCCCAGCACTAGTCTAGGGAAAACATCTGGTCCCCAACGCCCTCGAGCTCAGGAAACAGGAAACCAGTTTGACTTTTTCAGTTACTGAAAGAGCCTGAGCTTTCAACATCTCCCACTGAGTGTCGGCCCAAGAGGCTGCCCCAGTAGCACTGGGTGCTCCTCAGGGTGCTGAGGAGCTCTCCTCTCCACAGGGCAGCGAGGACTGTGCCAGGCCAGAGCAGCTCCTCAGGGTGAGCTGGCCTTGTCCCGTGGCAGTGGCCACCTCCATGAGCTCTCCTGGCGACACTGTATGGAGTAACCGGATCGCCGGGACCCTGAGACTTTGTTTCTCCCACAAGAAAGGGCACACAGTCTCCCTGCCTAAGTTGCACCCTTCCCTCTGCTGTACCTGATGGTGTGGGACAGGGCTAGGATCCCCAGCACAAAGAAATACATGGAGAGCAGAAGGTTGATGTACTCTTGAGAGAATATCTGCAAGAGAAATCCAGAGAGGGGTTGGTTACAACAGTGTCCTCCCCATCCACGGCACTTCATATTTCTATTGGCGGCTGCCGTGCCAGTGCTCCAGGGAGACGAGAAGAATATCTGGAATAACCCAAATTCTTGCACCGCTGACGGGAAATACATTGGAAATAGTCGCCGCGCGCTCGCAGAACGAGCACAATGGGCCTGCGAGTTCTCATGCATCTACGAGCTGCTCAGGTCGAAAAATAACTCGTGTGCTGCAGAAAGGAGGACAGAGCTTTCCCCCGCGTGTCCCATGTGCAGCGAGCTGGAGTAGGGAGCCAGGTACTCTCTGGTTTCAGCAAACTGTCAGGTCGGCCCAGGGAGACAGGTAGAGCTCTAGGGGGGACGAATGTGCTCCTCGGCCGCTCCCCAGAACCAACTTGTGTGCACAAACAGGCTCTGATCTCCCTCAAGCTGTGACAGTTCAGGTGAGAATTGGTGTCCTCCCATGTGGTGACGCTGAAGAGCTCCAGCCATGCAGCCTTACACGCTTTCTCTCCCAATGCTAAGGTCCAAAAATCGAGTCCGTCCCACTTCGGGAGCTCCTGACCAAGCAGGGAGGGTGGCAGGAGCTGGCTCCACCGCCCGCCAACGTCACTCACTTACTTTAAAGAAGAGGTAGAGCCCCAGAAGGGTGCAACTGGCAACAATGGGAAAACGAGCAGCATCTCGGCTGGTAATGGTCTCTGGCATCTCTGAGGAGTTCTGGTGAGGGAAGGAGAGAACAGGAACAGATCAGTCCCTGCTCTGGCTTCATATTTGAGCAGGAGTTGAACAGACACAATGAGGGGGGCTTTAAAGAGGGGTAGGGCACCCACTGGGCCCCCATTGTTCCTAGAGGTGGGACTGCATGACAGGCAGAGCCTGAGATGGAAAATCAAACCTCACACTCATCCTTCCAACGGCTGCCACAATTTAGTGCTTTTTTTCCCTTGGAGAAGGGAAAGAACTCCCAAACCAACAACTGCACTGGTGTTGCTCTTTTCTCCCACTGCCCAGCGGGGAGCTGAACTCCCTTGCCGCTCACGCCTGGCCGTTCCCATCTGTGCACACCATATGTCAATGACCCTCTGAGTGAAGTTTCTCTCCAAACACCTTTTCAACCCTCACCTCACTCTCGGGACACTCCTTGTGCTCACAAGCCCCAGATTTATAAACCCCTTTTGCCTTCCGAGACATCTCTGCAATGGCTGAACCAGCCCCCTTTCAAGCCATTTCCCACAAGAGACCTTCAGCTTTCAGAGGAGAGGCAGAAGGCTGCCCAGCGCACTCCCCTGCCCGCAGATCTAATCCTGTGCAGGCAAACACCTGCGGCCAGCGCACATCAGCAGGAGCCCTTATGCAAAGCGACCCTGTGAAGGAAAAACAGCTTATCCCAGACATGCCAGCTGTCAAGCAGCACTCAAGCAAATGCCCAAAGAGCTGCTGGTTCCCCCCCTCAGTTGCCTGGACTGCCAGGAACCTCGCTAAAATCAGCTCAAGTCCCCGGTGTAAGGCTGTCAGGCAGGCAAGGGGCTTTTAAAAACACTAATAAAACAGACTGTGTAAAACAGTCCCCCCTCCTGAGTT